ACCCCTAGTGAAAGTACTCATACGATGAGTACGACTTTACTCATAATTCGTCCATGAGTACTCATATTGGTACTACTAACAATTTCTGAGTATTGTTACTCAGTGAGTACTCAGTTACTCATGTGAGCGCTCAGGAAATATTCATTCACCGTTTTATTTTGCTAAGCTAAAACTATATGAAGAATGTAGAATTTAGTGAAGAAACACAGAATATTTATATTATTATTTTCTCACTGGTCTTTCTTTATATAGTCAGAGATAGACCTAAGACTTGTAGTCCTACTCTGGCTACCTGAGATTACTCCTCTATATGAAATATCAGATAAACAATACTCATGAGTATTTTGCTGAAAGTGGTATGAGAACAGAATTTTCAAGATCTTGAATGAATCGAATCAAAATGTATCTAAGTATAGTGATGAAAGTTTTATACATTTTTTCTCATATGACATCCATAAACATATACAATCATATGTAGTCATTAGGCATGCAACGGGAGCGGTGGTTTACCGTAACCAGTACTACCGTTACCGTTCTACCGGTACTATCGGTACTACCGCTACCGTTACTACCGCTATGGTCTGTTTAAACTTAAAACTTTCATCCAGTGAATTTGAGGATCACTTTTCTAATATTTGGGTGTATTGGTGACATTAAAGCAGATACACTTATCTGTCTGACCACGTACCACAAGGTAACGGTAGAATGGTAATAACGGCAGCGGTAGTAACGGTAGAACAGTAGCGGTAGTACCGTTACCGGCTTTACCGCTACCGTTGCGTGCCTAGTAGTCATAAGCTTATTGTTGAATAGATATGTTCAAGAAAATAAAATTTTTGCAGTTATATGTAAGTAACAGTATGAAACAAAACGATGATTCAAGAGTTATCAAGATCTTGATACAAGAACTCACGAAGGTTCAAGATATTCAAGCTTCTTACAATTTCTTACGTTTGCCTACCAAGATTCTGAGTCTACACCTTATCGAATAGTTTCAAGAAGCCAAGAAGTGTTGGTTAGCAGAAGTTTTACAAAGGAAGTTAATCGTTAACTAAACAACAAAATCTACTACTATTTACACATTTCTTAGTATAGAAACGTTTAGGAGTCAAGGTGTAGCAAAAGAACGATCTTCTCTTGTTTGTTAATAGAAATAATCTTAGTAGTAAAAAATGGAGTAAGTATGTCATCAGCTAAAACTTTTCGACTTTTCCTAAAATTTGCTTGTCTAGTTTTGCTCAGAACTGAATGATTATCACGACAGTACAGCTTTTTTTTAGCAAAAACATTTGTAATCAATCGAGAATGATTTTACAAAAATATTGAAGAGCACAAGAGCTTCCAAATGATACATATATGTGCTCAATGAGATATTCTTCAGATGTTCGTTAAAGTTGACAAAATTCAACTTTAGAAGAAAAAAAAATGAAATTATAATTTCAAAACTTTGATTTTGTTACATTGTTGATTTTAATTTCGATTTCTTTTCGTTTTTCAATTGTTAGAGCTATGATGGCTAGAGCAACCAAGTAGTAATCATCTTTCTTCATTGGACAACTGAGTATAAGAACGCCTTCTAAATTATCTTTCGTGAACAGTGGTATGTCATGTTTGCCGAATAATTTAGCTACATCTGTTGTTGATAGTGATGTTGATTGTGATCGAATAATGACATCATCATTAGATAACATGCACGGAAATTGTTGATGTTTTAAAATAAATTCTCTCATTTTCTCGTGTCCGAACGCGGTCATTAATGTTGGACAAACACCTGTAAATCGTGCATTTTCTTCTGATATTCCTACTCGTAGTTCGTGTTTATTATCAACATACATGAAGGCATCAATTGATCCGTATCCTCGTCGACCCATCTGTTGTTCATGTTGAGCTAATCGAATAGCCATAGCTAATAAACGTTGATAATTTTCATCAAAATATGTTTTAATATCCGGTGTAAAACATTCGGGTGAAATATCAATGCCAAAATAAGCTCCATTAGCATCGAGACGTTGATTACCAACAATGTATGCACTTACACCTGTATCTGTTAAAATAATTCCAATAGAAGGATTAGGTGGTTGTTTATGTTTATATTCATAATATGGTGCAACAATTATATCCACATTTTTCTCTTTAAAAAATGTAGCAATTTCATCAAGTGAATGAAATTTTAATTCATCATTTATTTCATAAATATTATCTTTTTTTGTTACCATATAGCTTCCTACACCACCAGCAGACATTTCTTCTTGAATAAACATTAAAGTTTGTTGTTGTTTATTATTATTTAATTTTAATGATGTTAATTTATATGTTTCAGTTTCATGTAATATTTTTTGAATTTTTTCTAATGAATCTGTTGATTGAAGACGATGATGTTTATAATCAAATTTTGGATCAACTTTATGAACAAGATTTCGAAATTGTTCCTTATTTATATGTGTCATTAATTCTCGACGTGAGATACCAATCATTTCAACATCAAATTTTTGACAATATTTATAAAAATCTGGTGTTGGATTATATGGATAAACGACTTTTTGTTTATTTTTAGCATTATATAATATTTCATCATAATCATATATATCATTAACTATCATTAATGATTTTAAATCAGATTGTGAACATAGACCATTTAAAATTTGTTGAATGATAAAATCTCGTTCATTAATTGCAATTTCATTTAATATTTCTCTACTTTTTTCATCAATAAATTCATTTTCCACTTGATAAGTTTTCTCTTTTTCTCTTTTGACTACTGCATGTAATTTTGTTCCAATTAGAAAACGTGTTGTCAAATAATTACATATAGGTTTTGCTTTTTCATTTGTAGATTGAAATGTGGCAATATCTAATAGAAGTTTACCATGTTTATCTTTATGTAAATCATGTATTGTAATTAAATTTTGAATAAAAACTGTTTTATTATTTAAAAATGGTTGAATAAAACATTCAGTTAAATGTTGAAAAAAGATATTAAAATTATAATATAAAATTTCTTGATCATCGTTTAATTCATTGGATAAATTTACAGATGCAAAATACATTATTATTTGAAGGTATGATAGTGTGTATGCTTTTATCTATGTAATTTTGTTATTGACATATGAAAAAGAGAGAGAAGAAAAAAATTTGCGTCCACATATTTCATGATATTACGTAATGCATTATATGTTTTGTACTTATATTTTGCACTAGTTGACTGACGAAGATAGCTGATATAATTCGATGACTCTATTGTAAGAGGGAGAGTAGAATATGTTTTATGAAAAGACTATATTTTGTGTGTGTGTGTGTGCATTTTCTTGTTGTTACTCAAGGCAAAAAAACAGCAAGCAAGGAAATCGGGCTTATTGTAACATTGTACGAAACAAGTACTAAATAACTAAACATTATAATTGAATTTATAGTTGCTCATGCACCTTCAATAGCTCTAGTACTATTTACATAGTACTGTAGAACTTTCTACTATAGTGATACAGTAGAAAAATATGAAGTAGGAAATAATGTATAAGATTTTCTTCACCAAATTTCAAATTCCTAGCTCGGTTAATGAAGATTCTGATTATTGGGTATTAAATTAATCATTTCGAAATTCTTGAAATATCTTGACAAGATCTGCTCAAGATTTATCAGGACTTATTCTAACATAAAACTTGTGGAAAAAATCTGCAGCACTGCTTTCCGTCCATTCAGAATCTTGAACGATTCGATTAATCCACACAAGTTCTTGAAAGATCTGGGACGAAACTTCAGAAATCTTTAAAGATTTTCTAGATCTGCATTCAAGATTTTTCTTCTGGGTAAAAGCGTCCGCTTCACAATGTTTTTTCAACTGTTTGGATAACTACCAATATAGATTATGTAACAGTCCCTAGTTTTACTTGAAGATGAAGAAAAATTTTCTTGTCATATGAAAAACTATTAATAAACACGTGAAATGAAACGTGTTAGTAAATTTTGAATACATAATGTCATGTATATCGATTACGCTTTTGAATTAGTCATATCATTATTGACGTGTCAATGATAAACTTTTTTCTTTAACTGTTCAGTTAACATGCGTTCATATATGTCATAACAAAGAACCGCCTAATATATTCTTATTGTCTATATATAGGTTTCATGTCTATATGTTTGGCTGTTTTATTACACTTCTATGATCTAAATTTTCTTAGTCTAAGTTAAGTAGTGACCGAAAAAGTGCGTACTTTTTTCTAGTTATACATGAAGATATGAATTTTTCTATTTTTCGATGGGAAAAACAGAAAAATGCCTATAACTTTTGAAGAAAAAACCCATTGGACCGAATTATTTTTAGATTTTTACAACCTCGATATCCTCTATCGATCGACGAATGAATGAATGAAAGTGGAGGGGTACATGTCTATAGGCTTCCTCGTAAGTGGTTACATATTTGACATTTATTTCAAATACATTTATACAAAACAATTTGTATAGGTAATATTTTCGGTAAAAATTAAAAATAGCATTAAACACTTATAATAATACACCGTTTGACACAGTTTGCATATTGATAAAACGAATATGATGTTCATTTCCAGTAAAAACAATTCATTGGTCGCATATTTTATATAACTTTTAGGTTTATAGGTCATTTTGTCAATTAATGGTGTAAAAATATGAAGTTTGGTACAGAAATGTTTGTTCACATCTTAAGCATGATATCAGGAGTCACTGCATGATATTGATAACCAACATGTGGAAGTGAAGATACTCTATCATGTCTATTTGCAAGAAGTTGAGAAAGATAAGTTGTTGATTTTTCTGTGCGATACAACAGGTTGAAGAATACTATGCTCGAATTTCAATTGAGGAAGGTATAAAATGTGCTCAAGCGTCGCTTGGATATATTTTCAATCGAAAACAAAAAATGATTTCATAAGTGCGGTAAATCGATATTACTAGTCCCCCTCGTTTTAGAGATAAATCTAAATTTAATAGGGACACGAACTAAAACGGGCCGCTTACTTCCTTCACTTCGTGGCGTTTCATCGAAACCAGCAATAACTTCATAGTTGAGAAATGTGACTAAAAAACCATAGATTCTTTTTATATTTCTTCACTTTTCTTATATTTTCTATGTCGTCAGGATAAACATTACATAGTTCACCATTTGATAAATGTTTAAATGTTTGCTGCTCTAATTTCAATTTCTCATTCATCGTATTATCATACGGTTGTTGATATTGTGCTGATGTATGATGTTTTTCACAAAATTGAGTTTTTTCTTTTGCGAAAGTAACAGAAATAACTATCAGTTATACGAAAAATGAAAATTCATAACTTTCTCAAAATCGGTTTAAAGTACATCAAAATTTGAAAATATACTCTGTTTCAGCTGCTTTATACGTTGATAATCCAAGAAATGGTTCCCTCTACTTCTGGAGATATTCTGATGAAGGGGATTAGGGCCTGAGTTAATTCCATCCATCCTCTTCAGACAGTCGCTGTAATCTCTTTCATTTCAGTTGTCCATGGTAAATACGAATTGAATCAAAATGAATGCATCACATTAGATACGCCTCGACTAGCTCGAGAGGTTCGTCGAATGAAGATCACGAAATCAGAACAGGCATCAAACCTGCATCTCGCATAAATCGGTTGATACTTTACTCCAATTAAGCTACCCGGCTTTGTCTTTAGTCACTAACGAGGAAACCTACGGACATGTACCCATTCGCTTTCATTCATTCATACGTCGATCGATAAAGGATATCGAGGTAGTAGAAAGCTAAAAATAATTCGGTCCAATGGCTTTTTCTTCAAAAGTTATAGGCATTTTGCTGTTTTTCCCAGCGAAAAATAGCAAAAATCGAAAAATTAATATCTCCGTCCAGAAAAATAGTTAAGAGCTCAAATTTCTATCTATTGTTCTTCTATATAACCCTGATATTTACGCAAATTTTCACCTTTACAACTCATTCCATTTCTGAGTTATTGATTTTTAAGTTTATCATACATTAACCCTTTGATAGGCTCAAAATATAATAACGTCCAAAATCGTTAGTTTTCTACTAGAACTGCTGAAAGTTTCGTAAATGACATGGTTTTGTAGTCTAATTTCGTTTATGAAAACAAAAAGATTTCTCAAGCCGGCTGTAGATGCTGAGTCTCTAGAGACCGCGTTGAATATCGGAGTTACAAAACATTGAGATTATATAATTTCGATTTGTTTTCTGTGTGTGGTGATCAGAACCATGACATGTACAAAAGTTTCAACAGTTCTAGTAGAAAACTAACGACTTTGGAAGCTATTAGATTTTGAGCCTATCAAAGGGTTAATCTATGGAAAACTTAAAAGTCAATAACTCGGAAATGGAATGAGTTGTAAAGGTGAAAATTTGCGTGAATATCACGGTTATATAGAAGAACCATAGAAAGAGATGTGAGCTCTTAACTGCTTTTCTGGACGGAGATATTAATTTTTCGATTTTTGCTATTTTTCGCTGGGAAAAACAGAAAATGCGTATAACTTTTGAAGAAAAAGGCATCGGCCCGAATCCTTTTTCCTTATCATTCAATCGAATGTAAACTCCATTTTCAAGATTTCGGTACCGCTGCAAATGCACAAAACATTAGACAACATCGAGAATTTCTATCAAAAAAAGCTATACAACAAGAAAAATTACTTTTAATAAAAATGGGGTATTTTCCGAAAAACTAACACAGTACGATAGTCAAGTATGCAATCTATATGTATGTATATCCACTGACCGTGGTTCGAATCCGTGCAGGACTACGCGTTTTTTTTCTTTTCCTCAAATTACCCATTACCGGAACCAACCGCCAATTTTTCAGATTCCAATCGCAAAGATCCAGTGCACTTCCGACCGATTTCGGTGTTAAACCGTGTCATTACCGGCCGGAAATGCAATAGATTAGCGTCGGAAACGACCAGTTCTGACAACGTAACGGCCACATGAGTCATGGATCTGGGTAGGGCCACAAATCCTGTTAGGCTTTTTCTTAGAATAATATCTCCTATATATAGCCAAAATCTCATTGAAAATGGAGTTTACATTCG